AGAATAGAGGAAAGAGGAGGAGGAGGAGGAGGAGGAGGAGGAAAATTAAAAAGCCAAGCTGAGTGGGAAAGGAGGGGAAAGGAGTCTGGTATAACACAGGCTCTGCTTCTCTCTAGAACAGAATTTGCTGCAAAAGAGGAAACAATCACAGCCGCTGTCTCCTCATTGGCCATGACAAATGCGAAGTAGCAGAGAGCTTTGACTAGGACCTAATCGCTTTTCCAGCAAATGAGGCATGAAAACTATTGTCAAAAATCATGATGTCCAAAGCATTCACTCGCACTTCATCTTCCTGGCTGAGAGAACTCCTGGAGGCTTCAGGTGAATGTGAGTTCTAGGGAGAGTCTACAAACAGAGCCTGCAGTGCATGCTGAGCCACTGAAATTCCTGACACCAAGAAGAGACAGCAGTCTCAGGGAGATGGAGGAGCAATGACAGATTCAAAGCAAGCTTGGCGATGAGACAACTTCAGCACCTTGGACAGGGCCCCTGGTGCTGACTCAAAAGTTCATTGGCTAAAATTCAGAACCGCGGCCAGCAATCAAGCGAGTGAGAAGAAAAGTGGAAGATTTGGACTTTCTGTACTTGCAATAACAACATTCTCCATTTGGAGAGTTCTACCTACCTTGCAGACACTTTATTTATTATTTTATTTTATTTATTTTACTTATACCCCCCCATTTGGTCCTAGGACCACTCTAGGCGGCTTCCAACACAGTAAAAGCAACAGATAAAATAGGACAAAAATCTTATACCCCCCCATCTGGTCCTAGGACCACTCTAGGCGGCTTCCAACACAGTAAAAGCAACAGATAAAATAGGACAAAAATTGTTACATAAAATACGAATAATACAAAAATATCTACTTTACAAACTCCCACCCATGATGCACCTGGAAGAAAGCCCTAAATTGTAAGGCTTTGAGGCATAGCTAGGGCTTTGTTGTTGTTTAGTTGTTAAGTCGTGTCTGACTCTTCGTGACCCCATGGACCAGGGCACGCCAGGCCCTCCTGTCTTCCACTGCCTCCCGGAGTTTGCTCAAATTCATGTTGGTAGCTTCGCCTAGTTCTACCCAAACTCCCATCTTACAAAGAAAGTTCCCAGCTAGCATTGGGCCAGGAACAGGAAGGGGAGGAAGTGAATAAAGAGATAGATAGCCAGTCTCTCATATTTTACTCACTTGTGTAGTTTTGGAGTTTGAACCCCAGGTCGTGAGCACAGTTTTAGCTGCAGTACAGCGTTTTAACCACTGCGCCACGAGGCTCTTAAAGAGATAGATAGCCAGTCTCTCGTATTTTACTCACTTGTGTAGTTTTGGAGTTTGCTCCTTTCATTAAAATAGCAGATGTATTGACATCATCACCACACACCCATACTACCACCAGGAATATTTTTCCCATTTTTAAAATTCTGACAGAGCATCTAATGCATATGCAGATGTGGTCCCCCTGAAGCAGTTCGGAGCCAAAGGGAAAATAACACACTCCTTTTCTTTCTTGCTATATCTTCTGTATGGCCATCGCCTTTTCCAAATGTACTAACTTCTGCCCGTGATCAGGTGAGTTCAAAATACAGAAAGGTGTACTGTCAACTCCATGCTCTCTTCTGTGCAAGACAGAGAACCTGGAGCAGACGTGGAGCTGAAACAGTCTGGAAGGGTGGATTAAACGGCAAGGATACAGATAAGCCCTGACTGGTGGAAGCTGTCACTGTTATGGGATGATGCTCAGTGGGAAAGTGACACTGCCAGCTCTATCAGGCACTGCAGCAAAAGGAAACATACTAAGGAGACAAACGGTTGAGATCTGCAATGAAAAAAAAAGAATAAACAGAGATGGAAAATCCATTAGAGGTAAAAGGATGGTTTCGCATGAAACCAACCTTCAGCCTTCCAATCGATGGCCAAATGTAGCAAGTGCTGAGAAAGACTACCTCTACTTGACATTCTGAAAAATCCCTGCCAATCAGACAACAACACTGAGCAATATGAAGAAATAATCAGACCCAAATCAAGGCAATTTCCCATGGAGATGGAGGCTGAGAGGACCCCAGGAGTATAGATGGGAGTCTACCATCGAGCAAATAAAGCAATGTTCCTCCCAAAAAACGAGAGCACCAATTTGCAGATACTAAGTTATATCTATACATAATTATTCAATATCTGTCATTTACTATTATTGCAACAGAAATACAATACATCTCACCATTGATCGGAAAAAGTGTGACCGGGTGAACTGCATGACTGCTCAATCTGGCAAGCCTCTGCAGACTAATGGGCCATCCAAGGCCCCTGCCCTTTTGACATCTTAGGGTTCTTTCTCTTCACAACTCCCTAGAAATGGACAGCTTGGAAACAGAGAACAAATCCAAACAGAGGGTAGTTGTCAGGCAGTGGATAAGTGGAACCATAAGTACTGATCCCGTGGTTATCCGTGTGACCAGCTGTGCACCAAATTGGACAAACAGCCAAGCCAATGGTGCAACCCTGCTAAACAGAGCCAAATACATGTGTGAGTAACATTACTACACATGGATACGTCAACAGGATTCTGGTCAGTGGTTGTCTCTCAGAAAGTTCAGATTTCACCCAGAGCCAGCCAGTTGTTGACTCCAGCATATCATAGGGCAACACTGCTACACAATGCTGAGTTTTGAACACCGCTATCTCCCATCAGGACAAAAACAGCCTATATACTCCATTATCTTTTCTTGGGACTAATTCAGCACATCTTGTTCTCAACTTGTCTTTCTGCAAGCCTGGGAGGCCAAAGAGTGTTCAAACAGCATCAAATCAAAGCAAAAGGATAAGTAGATAAGGAACAGTCAGATGTTGGTGTAATGTAGTTCTGGGTTGAGACAAACGCCTGTGATGCGGAAGGATTTAATCTGCCCTCAATTATGGTTGCTGACTTTTCCTTCTGCACTAGCATGACCTTCTCCGCCCCCAGCAACATGGCTGCTCTCTCACCACAACTTTCTGCTTTCCTTAATTCCTCCAGTTTGTCAGGTGTTTGGAGTTTTCCTTCTCTATCCCCAAATTATTCGAACTCAAAGACTTCTACAGCTCTGGATTCTGAAGTCAGCGGTTTTGATTTATGCCTGGAATCCATCCGTCTGGCTAGGCTTGAATAGTTCCCTTTAATGACACACGGATTGCTTGTCAGGCGGCGGTCCACAGCCCGGCTGGTGTTTGGAACACACTGTAATTGCTTCATTTATACGCTCACATGTACAAGTGAGCCTGACTAATCTAAAGAAATGTCTCTATTTTTAAGGCCATTTCGTCCCCTCCCCCTACCTCCCTCCTTTCCCTCTCTCTCTCTATAAATGTTAAAAACGATGAACAAGACTGTAAATATGGTATCCCGCATCAAGAACAGGTGGTGTTAATGGCTGTTATAGCATCCCTGAAGGGAGAAAATGGAAGCCCACCATAAATTATGGGGCATTTCAGCTAGGGAAAGAAGTAGAAGGCAAAGATAAACCTCACTTCCTCTGTTGAAAAAATGGAGAAGGATTATGTCAACAAAAGACCCCATTGTGTATGGTACAACACTTTACAAACAGCTTGCCGCAAGCAGTAGGTTGGAAGTGCATCAAGATATATGCTACAGAGGCAGGACATCTTGTTTCTAGCCAACATCGTTGAGTCCATGTGCTGCTGTTCATGCCTGTTTGGACCCAAACATCCTTTTCTTTGTGGACTTCCTGTGAGACAATTAGAAGGAAACATCATTGACACCATCCGGAGTTACAGTGTGTGAGAGAGGGACTTCCTGATTTATCCACCATGTAGAATGTTCCAGCTAAGTGATATCGTAAAGACTTGAGCCTGAGAGGAACAGAGATTCAGCCCGCAATCATCCAGCCATGGCCGGTGGAGTGATCTTGACGCAAAGACACTTGTTTGCTCAAACAGAGACAGCCTCACCCTTACAGATCCCAGTTCGTGCTGGTCCCGGGAAATGAGAAGGTCTGCATTTAATGAGTACAAATGCTTTCTACCTGCTTTCTACAGAACCAAAGTTGGATATATGAAAAACAAAAGACTCAAATGTACATGGACTTTTGCAGCTTTACATCCTCAGAACAGCATGCAATAATCAATATTCTGAATCAGACTGTAACGAGTTTTATCGGAACATGTATGCCCTTTCTTTAATCTTGAGTCAAGGACCATAAAGACTCAACCCTCAAATCAATGTGATATGGACCAGGTTTTTAATTTCATCCCCACCTTAGGGCCGGTCCTACTGTTGAGCAAGGTGTGCAGTATGGGAAGAAGCAGCAAAGAAGAAAGAAACTTATGCTATGTGAATTCTTCTGCTAGTCCCTTAAGCTTCGGTTACAGTGGAGCTGAAGAAATATGGTGTTGAAGAAATATCCCATTTATTTCAAGCTAGAGTCCGACCCCTTGGAAACACCTGTAATATTCAGACTAAAACACAGAACAGACCATTCATCTCACAGAATTAAGAGTCCTCAAACCCAACTGAGTTAATTCTCCACCTTTAAGTGGTCACCTTTAGGGACACCGGATCATCCCTTGAGCTGAAGAAAGATTCAGTGGCCAAATCCAGACAATGTTTATACACAGTATGAGAAAAGGAGGCATCTTGATCAATGACCCAAGTGGCCAAAGAACCTCCACTCTCTGAGTTAACCCATGAAACACTGGGAAATATGATCCTGGAGCCTTTTTCCATCATAAACACAGGCCTACGGAATGAATATTGTACTGCCCAAAGTGGAATCTCTTTGTGCAATAATCACGACAACGACTGCAACAACAACAGCAACAATGATAACATTGACACTTTATCTAATTGAAAGGTGAAAGTCTCTTCCTCAACTGGATTTTTAAAAATCTCGATCAACCTTCCTGGACCAACACAACACTCAACAGAGATTACGGCACCGACAAAACATGTACACCTATGGTCTGGTGCCTTAGCCATCAAGAGCTGCCACTTTTCATAATGAATTGTTATTGTTCTGACCTTTTTGCCCGGAGATCTGTGATTTCTTCTTCCACATCCAGCAGGGCTGCTGCCTGAGTCATCAGTTTCTTGCTGCAGGGCAAGGATTTCAGCTGCAGAAGCAGAAGGCCAAGGCCAAACTTTGCTCCCATCTCTTCCAGCTCGCCAGTTCCAAGCTGGAGGCCCTAGGTGTAGAACAGGGAAACAATCAAGACAAGAATGATCCAATTAGGATTGAAGCAGGGTTCGGGCAGTATTTGCACGCAGTGATGGGCAGCGTGTGGTCCCAGGAGCATACATGCGGGCCTCTAGGTTTATGTATTTTTAAAACGACCATGTCGGATCTGTAGTAAATGCTGCAGGCAAGGATATGGTTTCCAGCCCCTTGAAGATTGTCCTTTTAAAAGACATTACTCAAGCCAGAACTGTGTGTTTTTTTTAATTATTATTTTTTAAAAGCAGAATTATTTTTCAGAAAGGAAAACATCATCCATCTGGTAGCCATCAAAAATGGCCTTGACCACACCTTGCCTTCCTCTGCTCTCGGCTAAGCCAGCACAACATATTTAAAGTGAAGGACCTCTGCTCAAGCAGAATTGATCCAACCTCTATGACACCATATTTTTCCTTCCAAAATTAAAGAAACAGCAGGCAAAAGTCAGCTCCTCATTGCCGACTCTCAGCTCCAGTGAGCAAAGTAACCTTGACCTCACTCATCCTAGACAATGGCAGAACCTTTCGCGTCTCCCCATCGTGCTTAATACAGGCGTCTGAAAAGCACAGAGGATGAAATGACACCATGGCGGGATCCTCAATAGCTCTCTGTGGACCACAAAGCTGTTCCCAATTATTCTCAGTGGGATGTTTTTCGGTATCGTGGGGCAGTGGGAATTGGAACCTGGATGTGCCAACATAAGTGAAAACTTGTCCATAAATGCCCCTCGGCTTTGACAGCCCCCAAAGTGGACTATGAAGATCTGGCATGGGGAAACATGGTCAATGGAAGACCTTGTCAGCTCTATGCCACCAAGCTCATCTGATTCTTCAGCACAAGTCCGCCCTCCTGTCAGCTCATTGACACCAGCTCCAGATTCCCCATGACCAACAACGGTTTCCTTAGCAATGGCAAAACATGTCCATTCCCAGGGTGTGAGGTGCTTTCTAGAACCGTTGCATTTCCTTCCTGAGCTCACAACACAGGGTAAAGACGATCTTTAACTAGGAGACACACTCCTTAGAGGGACACAAGAGTGTAGGTTGCAGAGAGATGTCTGAAAAATCATTCGGTTTTCTTTGCCTTCTCCCTAGGGCAGTGGTTCCCAGCCTGGGGTCCCCAAAGGTTCATTGGCTAAGACTCAGAAGCCTTCACCACTACTTGTGCTGGCCAGGATTTCTGGGAGTTGTAGTCCACAAACATCTCGGGACCTAAAGCTGGGAACCACTGCATGGGATGGTGGAGAACTTTTTCTTTTCGCTTTCCATATACATCTTCCCAAGGCCATACACTTATTTCTATTTGGATTTGGAAGACTCTGAGAGCTGAAAGAAAAGGACACAGTATCCAGAGGTATAACTAGAAAACTTTGGCACCTGGGAGCAAATGGTACCACCTTCCACCTGTTTCTGTTCTGTATTATGGCCATGAGTTCTGCCCTGCCAAGGAAAAGGAGAAGCAGGATGTGATGCCTACAAAGAAGAAAGAAAGTGTCTGCCTTTAAGAGAGAGAGAGAGAGAGAGAGAGAGAGAGAGAGAGAGAGGAATGTGAATAGAGGCAGGAAGCATTGCTGTTTATTTTCTTACTGGTTTCCTACATTCATGTCTAGAGATAAGCATGAATCATCAGTTTGGTGATTCGTGCTGGCTCATTTATCAGCCAAACAAGGGTTTGGCGCTTCCTAGCCATTCCTCCTCCAGCAGCCGCCCAACTCAGAGGCAGCGCCCAGAGGAGGCAGGGCAGGGAAGCTGAGCCCCTGCCTCTGAGTGAGCCCCTGCCAGCAGAGGCAGGGCTGGGAAGTGCAAACACCTCTTCGGCCAATAAACAAACCAGCTCAAACCGCCATCCAGATTTTGATGCTCTTAGTCAAAGCCTCAGTCGCCCTGTCCCAGTTAGAGCTCTGACAGTATACCAGACTACTACTCTCATAATACCACAGATTGCATAACCACTAGCCCTATCATTCTGGGAGAATTCTTGCTTCTGGATCTTTAAAAAGAGAGAGAGAGAGAGGAGCATTTCCAAGACCTGATTCCAGGAATGGATTTTACAAAATCTGAGTAATACACAGCAACCTGCCCCCCAGCCACATACTGTCCTAGAATTATAACCAGGGTTCAGAAAATTTACTGTTTCTGACTACAACATCCAGAATCCCCAGGCAGTCCATGATCCCAATAGCAATGCTTTTAAACCCCATTTATGGCATATACTGTAGTCTCAGTTCTTCCTTAGTAAGGTTCAAGAATAATGGAGGCTAAGGAACAGAAGGCAACTTTTTAAAATCCCCTTTTCAAGGCAAGATGAGATGTTAAGAAAGGAATAAACATGAGGCTAGAAACACAGATGACCCAAGATATTTCACTGACGGCAGAGAACAGCAAATGGCACTGTCCATTATCTGTTCCTAAGCTCAGGGACACAGGAATAACTGGAGACCGGCCAAAAAGATCTCAGGCAGAAAATCTGAAACACGTCTCACTCTTGGAATACAAATATGCCAGCGATGAATTAAGGAGCCATTTCCTGCTCTTTAGTTACACCTGGAATCAGCTACGTGAGGTGGGCACTTCACTCTGCCTCTGAGGGAGAAAATGGTTGCCTTGACCCAGCAAGCATAACACTTCTCAAGCTCTGGTGATAAAATGCTTCACCCTCAACAGGTAACTGAATAAAGCTCACTGCTGCCCCCAATCTACGGAACGCAACATCCTGGCAGAGGTTAGAGTATTAGAAAAATAAAGTAGCTATAGCTTATGTGTTTTCACACTGAGGTACAGGAAAGCTGGAGACCTGGCAGGCCTTGAAATGAGCAGTACCTATAGCATGTATAGCCGACACCTTTGGTTTCTCTTTTAAAAAACCATGTGTGTGTGTGTGTGTTCTCTGCCATCAAGTCAGAACCAACTTATAGCGTTCCTAACAGGGGCTTCAAGGTGGATGGTTTTACCAGTTCCATTCGCTCCAGTAAGTTTACATGACCAAGTGGGGATTTGAACCCTGTTCTCCAGATTCCTGGTCCATTGCTCTATCCACTGCACCACACTGGGAAGTAAGAAACAAACAAACAAAACAACCCTAGCATTTTTTTTAAATTAGAGATTCTTCAGTCTCGAGAGACTATGGTATGGAGGAACAACCCTAGCATTTTTTTAAAATTAGGGATCCTTCAGTCTCGAGAGACTATGGTAACATGCTCTCTCGGAGCAGCATCTAGTATGGCTGAGAAGACCAATTCAAGAGGGACAATCCCTTCCACGCTGAAGACAAATGCAATCTGCTCCCTGTCCAGCTCCCTGGTTTTGCTGGTTTCGGGACTGCCTCTTTGCCTTGGCCTGCTGGACAAGGGTCTCTTCAAATTGGGAGAGGCCGTGATGCACCACCTGCCTCCAGGCTGAACGCTCAGAGGTCAAGGTTTCCCATCTGTTGAGGTCCATTCCTAAGGCCTCCAGGTCCCGCTTACAGATATCCTTGTATTGCAGCTGTGGTCTCCCTCTGGGGCAATTTCACCACTAATAAAAACCCCAAGGATGCTAAAATAATTTGTATCCCATTTAATTTGATGTTTAAGTTCCTCTTGCTTCACTCCAGAATCATTTCTAGTCTCATGTTTAATTCTATGGACTGTACACAACACTGTCCTGGCCAAACACCATTGGGTACCATCACAGAAAACAACTACATTTCCCAGGGTGTACTCAATAAGTCTTGTAGGGTTTTCTTCCCACCCATTTTTGGCAGTCAAATAAGGCAAGATGGGAGGGGATTTGAAGGTAGAATCATGAAGTTGGAAGGGGCCTCTAAGGCCATTGAACCCAACCCCTTCAATGAAGGAATACAAATCAAAAGAGATCTGCCAGGTGGTTGTCTTAATTTCTCTTGAATGCCTCCAGCGTTGGAGCACTCACCACCTCTTGAGGTCATGGGTTCTATTGTTGTACTGCTCTAAGAGTTAAGAAGTTTTTCCTGATATTCAACCAGAATCTGCTTTGCTGTAACTTGCGCCCATCGTTGCGTGCCCTGTAATCTGGGCTGATTGATAATAGGTTCTGCCCCTCCTCTGTATAACAGCCTTTCAAGTATTTGAAAAGTGCTATCCTATCTCCCCTCAATCATCTTTTTTTTTTTAGTACATATATAGAAGAATGGAAACAAAGAAGAGGGGGTGGCGTCAAGGTGACTTCAATTGAGATGTTGAGTGGCTTGTAAAAATAATCAAGCCACTTATCTATTGTATATGAAGGAACATTGGTTTCATTTACATGTGGGCCAATGTAGTATCAAAACAAGATCTCAGCTCTCTGGTTTCCGTGTCTTCTGCAAAACATTCCCGGGTGTAAACATGCTTGAAAAGTACGATGGCGTGAAGACCAGTTTAAGCAACGTCAAAGGCAGCAGGTGGGCACCAGTTCATTCTGAATGCTTCAGCTCACTTCCCTGTTTGCTCTCCATCGGCACGATGCTAACGGATGGCTCCTATTAGTATGCTGCCTGAGATCCCACCAGTGGAATTAGGGAGGAAGAAGACTGTCAATTTATTTATGCCCAGCCTCAGGGCATTTACTGCTGCGTATGCGCATAAAGCCATTGTAATGCGGAGAGCATTTGGTGGACATACATGTTTATAAGCTGGCTGGAAACAAGGCAGATAATGGAAAGCCAAGCCATCCACCTGGCTCATTCTGCTACCCAGAAGAGGTCAAATCAGGAAGCATCAGGTCTCCGGCTTAAAAAAAAAAAAATTGCCCATGACTTTTTGGAGTTTGCTCTCCTCTTCTGTATTCTTTGCACAGATCCGTTCAACACACCAGTTCCTACTTGTCTTCCCTATTTATAGACAAACCTTATGCACTCTGCTGGTCACTGCAATATTGAAAAGTCTAATTATGAACGTGTTTCTGTCCATTTCAGTGGATCCTCCAGAGGGCAGTTTGCCTAATAATGGAAAAGGTTTGTTTGTGAACACATTGA